CTGGTCGCATACCTCAGTACACATACCAGAAATACACTGCACTGCGCTTTTTTCTTCTTCAAATGTGCAGGAGCTGCCGGTAAATCGAACGAACTTTGTTTTATTTATGTCTATGCGCCGGGAAAGTGAGAGAGGAGGAGGCGAGAGCGTGCAAGGACGTCGGAACACCGAGCCATGATTGGATTGATTAGTGGGTAGATCTTTGTCTCGACTGCGCCCGTTGAACGCGTTTGAATGCGAAAGCCAAACACCGGATGCCAGCTTTTCGCATTTCTAGCGCGTTCGACGAGTGCAGTAGAGGCAAAGGCAGCTAGCCTCAGCTCTACCCTCTAATCGCACCAATCAGAGCTCAGCCTTTTGACGTCCCCGCGCTTTATCGCCTCCTCCTCTCTTTCTCACGCCGTCCAGCGTTAGGGGGGGGGGGGGGGAGTTACAAACGCAAGGACATCGTTTTAGAATGCTGCATATTTGCGCGTTCGCTCGTGCGCACAGATCATCTCGCAGATCTACGAGCATGTGCTTGGGCCTATTTTTTTTTACGTGCACCTAATATCGCGTTTTATGTACTATAGTCATGGCTGCTATAAAGGAGGTGTGCCGAGCAGAAAATTGCTGTTAACGCCGGGCGATAGCATCACGCGCGGCGCCACGATTACTACTTTACTCAATGAACGTAACTATAAATTTCAATCAATATTATAAGGTTGGAAAAGTCACAACACAGTGAATATCAACTTAAAAAAAATAACTACATTTTTACGCAGACATTTTGGCATGCGCTTCACGCTAAAAAAAAAAAAAAGCGGCAGTGTTTTTTTATTTCTTTTCTTTTTACTTTAGAAATAGTTTATTTATTTTGGAATTTTATGACGAAGTAACTGGAACATGTCAATTTGAATCGCTTACAGCCGTAGATTTATACACCTTCTTGGCAAGAGGCAGCTTGCATCGTTCTGCAGCTTCGATACCCGTGCCAGGAACAATGATATCAGCTATTCCGAGGGTAGAATTGGCTTCGGCACCGATGTGCAATGTACGACGGTTTCTTGAATGAAAACACTTCGAAGACATCGGCTTTGTTGACGTTAACTCTCTGGCCAGGCATCTTTTGAACATAAATAAAAATCCACACTCGCATTCGATTCTGGCAGGGCGTGCGTGCAGTGCCCAGGGCTTATTTGAACAGGCGCACTGTTTTAACATTTCCACCAGTCTGTTTAGTGTTTCTCTGCCAAAATACGCCGCAGTTTCTTTTTATATTTTTTTAAGGTATAGTTGTTTTTAGACAAAAAGCAAGGCGGCGGCGAACCCGCAGGTTTCGATGTCGTGATATCCCTGTCGTGTTTATTCGGGCGTTGGCCTGTAGAATTTTCACTTTCTTTCTAAGTCTGCAGCCTCGTTTAGAGGTAAAAAGGGGAGGTTAGCAGCATGAAGGGGACAGCGACCTTGGCAAGGGCAGGATGATATCTTGTAATTTTTATAACTTCACCGTGGTTAAGATAGATGAATTTCCTTTACGATGCCTATTTTTTATATGGAGATTAGAAACCACGCATTGATACTGAAGTTATTTGTCTCCCTGTCAGAGCGCGATCATATCCCAAAAAGATTATGATGTTGGAAACAAAAAATAAGACATTAAATGCTTGCCTCGCGGATTTATAGCCTCTCTGGCAGTGAGGCGCGGAGCAGCCGGTGCCCTTCTTGGTCGTCATCTATAAACGAGAGGCCCCCACCAATTGTAGCCGGAAAGTGCTGTTAAGCATTGAGCGGGAGACAAGACAGGCTTACTGCGATGCGATATTAGCTTCACGAAAAGCAAGGCACAACAACACGTGGAGTTTGACGTAGATTTTGATAAGTATTGTGCCGTAATCAGTTTTATTTTTACTATGTTACTTTTATTCCAAGTTACATTTCGCACTTATGTTTAATGAATGTTGCACTTTCTTTATTTTCTCAAAGATCTTTTCAACGCGCTTCAAGTAAGATTTACTGAAATAAATGTTAGGGCGCGAACGAGCTGGTGTACGTTAAACATGATTTGAAAACGCCGAGACTGCAGGTAACGACACAGACACTCAAAAGTTTCAAGACTTTTCAGTGTCTGTGGCGTTACCTGCAGTCTCGTTTTTTTGTTTTTTCTTAATCATGTCAGATTAACTGTTGCTGGCCTCTTTACACCTTTTCAATCCTGAAGTCGCCTATCATTTAAAGAAAAACAAATCGTGCATGTCATAAATCCTTGTGACCTGCTGAAAGGATATCATTTCGCCTCAGTCACAGTTGATCGTAGTTGTTGCATGTATTGTACAACCGGCAAAACGCTAGCTTTTAACACTGCGTTTTTCCCCGAGTTATAACCATCCGAAACTTATTTCCAGGATAAACTGTTCTTACTACAGACCTTCACGTATTTTCATTCTTAGTAACAACCACTATCCCAAGAGATTGCTACTGTGCGTATTCTTTAATACTTTCGTTTTATTTTCTTGTGTCCAACTGCTGTTCTATTTTTACCTACTTCCCCCTCCGTTTTATGCAGTGCCACATCTGGCAGTTTAGTAAAATTAAATGAAAGATAAATTGTGGATATGTTCAGAAAGGTCAAGTCCTGGTGTAAATATAGTCACGAGGGCTTGCGACTAACATAGAAAGAAATTCAAAGTGGAAGTTATCATTGTAGATTATATTAGCAGATTTTAGGTACATCTGTTCAGCAATTGTTATAATTGTCTATAGGCGGCTTTGGATTTGGTTAACGAATGCGCATAATCTATAATGGCTCTGCTGCGTACTGCACGGAAAAGCGCAGGTCTTTGCAAGCGTGCAGTGGTCACATCAAGTGCGGTCACTACGTGTTTCTTCAAGTGCACATTGCAAAGGAAAGCGAGATTCGGACAAAAGGTTACTTTTGGACCAGAGGAGATTCCTGCTAAGATGAAGAAAAAATTGCCACTAAATGGTCTCGTGAAGTCGATGCGATTTTTAAGTGACTTTTTTTTTTTAATTCGGGGAGCTTCGCAAAATTGATAATTGAACAAGTCTGCAGCAGAGATGCACTTGTAAAGATGGAAAAATTTGCGAAACAAAAAAATGCAGCAAGATGCACTTCGGGCATTTGGACAACCTTACACATTTTTTAAGTCATCGGAATTAAAGGCTTTTATTTCTACGATGACGATGGCGACTATAATAAAAGTCACACTACGAAAAAGCTGTCACTTAAATTTGGCATGCCATTTTTTGTTTCCTATTTTCAAACCGGAAAGCAGTTACCATTTCTGAAACTTGCGCGCTTGGGTCGAACCGCCGCTACCGTCTTATGGCGCGTTTACACTTGCGGATTCGCCGGCGGATCCGCGCAGGCGGAAAGTGGATTTCGTAGACGGGTGGCGAAATCGACTCGTCGCTGGCGGATAATCTAGATAATCCCGGACTGATCAAGATTTTCTGCAGCGACGAGTCGACTTCCCCACCCGGCTCCAAAATCCGCTTTCCGCCTGCGCGTATCCGCTCGCGAATCCGCAAGTGTACCTCGTCGCGTCGCGTCGCTGAGCTGCGTTGCCATAGAAACCGTCGATGACGTTGGGTGCGTTCAAAATCTAAATGTATGAGTCCGAGTTACCTTGGCGGATCATGTCACGTGACAACACAAATGGAGTAATGCTGGACGCGGGTAGGTTTTGGAACGCAACGGTACAAAACCTTTACCCTCCAGTGAGACCAAGTAAATTTTGGAACACGGTCATTGTGACGTGCTCACGCAGCATTCAGCTACGTCATAGCATCAGCGGCGGTTGCTGTTGTTACGCAACTCGGCAGCGCCACGCAAAGCGGCTTCTTTCTCACACGTGTTTTGCACTTTTCGTGTTGTGAGGCGTATCAAGGTATACGGTCCGTTAAGCCAATTATACGGTGCGAATATTTCATTTTAAAGCTTTTTTTTTCTCGTATGAATAAAGTAATCAACTGAAAAAAAAACTGTCGCCTCACGACTTTCTGTGGTTGACACATTACCATCTCTCACTGCAACTTCGAAGGTCATCTTCCAAACCTAAGCTGACAGGATGTAGAATGTCAGGAAGTCACGGCGCACCTTCATTTCTCTCGTGACGCTGTGAAATGAATCACTCGCACCTCGCGTCTCAAAACGTTTATATCGCCACAAATGGCGATATTAACAGGCGTTCGGGTCGATTTCGCCTTTTGTTCCGTGACTGGTTACATAAACTTGACATCGGCTCGACAATGCCTTCTGATAAGCCTTGCACTGATGATGAGACGATCATGGTTGACCACTCTTTTTTCTTTCATTTTCTTGCCACGTGAGTGACCACAATGCGGTTTGCTCTACAGTCACTGAGAGTGTAAGAAGGGTGTGGCCAATTGTGATCGCTCTTTTCACTCCACTGATAGGGTCTTTAAAAGCAGCCATGCCGCTTTTTATCGGTCATTGGCCGCGAAGAGCGATAATGAAAGCCACGCCCCCTTGCGTTTATCGAGTTGTCACCAGGCAAGTCTTTTCGAGCTATGCAAACCCCTTCTGAAGAGTCTGGTGACTTATGCTGCCTTTCTGCCATTTACCAACAAGGGCTGTTACACGGGGCGAGGCACAAGCTCCACATCCAGGCATAAAACTCTCTCCCAAAAAAAGGACTCTGGTTGAGTTTACAATCTGTTTGACGTAAGAATAGAGAAGGTCCCCCCACACACACGCACAAATAACACCCCCATCAACGGCCGGTGAGCGAGATTAGGCAGAGCTTCGGTGTTGTAGGCGCCAATCTGAACGAAATAGGGGCCTCAGAAATGCACTTTCCTTTTTGAGATGTCAGAAAAATGACGAGCTCGTACCGAGATGGGTTTTCCGGCGGAGCTCAGCTGACCTTCTTTTGTTTTAGAACACTACATCCACTGGTGTTACTTAAATTACTCTCTAAATTGTCCGAAGCACCGCCCTGTCCCAGATGACGACTTGGTACAGGTTCTCGTGTATCGTTTCTTTATTTTCAACAAACAGTACGAGGCAGCGAGTGTGTTGGAGACTTCGCGAAGCGCCGAGTTTGATTTGAACGCGTTTGTTGCGTTCAGCCGGTAGCGAGTTTTAGGGAGAAGTCGGGCAACTGAACCGACATCGGACGGTCAGATGTTCCCACGTAATTCGCGGCAGAATTTGCCTTCAAGACTTAGAGTGCGACGTGGGAGCTTTCCTCTTGACCGTAACCCTATAAAGAGTTGATTGCAAAAATTATGACTCGCTAAAGATAACCACGAAGAACAAGTTCGTTAGCTCAAATGCTCTGAAACTTAATCGGAGATTTTCGCACGGGAGCAAGGATTACACTGTATGCCTCCGATACTTCAAAAATTTACCGGCAATTCTGCACCGTGACAACAACCGCGGCTTCTTGCGAGCATCTGGTAAGTACACCTTCTGTCTTGTCGAAATTTGCAACGTATATCAATACTCTTTATATGGAGCACTCATCATTAGAGAAAAAGCTCTGAAACGTGCTCCGTAAAACAAACAATTCCTTCGGTCAGTTCGTCCCACCTAAGTTGTTTCTTTTTCTGTTTTTGTTTTTTCGTCTGAGAAATTCATAAATATTTTTTTTTCCAGTTCTTCAAAAAATCCGCTAACAAGCTATAGCGCGCAACAACAAACAAACACGCGACCCCATTTCTTCTGTTTGATCCTCGGCAATCTGGCGCCAAGTTTCCGGTAGAACTTCCGCTGACACTGTTTGAGAGTCCACAGCACGGCCTTCGTGGTCTTGCTCTTCACGGGTTTAAGGCACAGTTCACAGAGTTTAGCAGTCTTGATACACAGCCCCGTGGTGTCATGTTGCGCTCTATCTTCTCTTGTTGGTTCTCGTTCTTGCCGTTGTGACGATTATTCTTTGCCCGTGCTCATTCAACATTTCTCCTCCAGGACGTCATTCGCAGAAGAAGTTTCGACGAGTAATCTGCCGGATGTCCCCGCTCCTCCGTTGCTTTTTCGTCATCTCTTCATCGCTGCAAAGTGTCCGTCGTCGGTGAGTTTGCGATGCTTCTAAGACGGGTCCCTTCACCTCACGCCTAGGGTACAGCCATCTGAAAGTAGAAAAGCAAGATCACATAAAAACGAATGCAATGTTTTAAGAGAGAAATATGCAACTTCCCCAAATTTCACTAAATAGTGACCCCGGTAGGTTTCGAATGCTTGTTAAATGATATTAAAATCAGCGCACAGGAAGTGAGGAAGATAAGATAATTGAAAATAGAGCGCTGGGTGTTCTATGTTCTATGTTTTATGCCTTATGTTATCTTATCTTCTCTTCCCGCTCGCTGCCTGTGCGCTGTTTTTTATAATGATGTAATCCCACCAACTAGCTCAACTCCCCACTGTAGTACAGAATGCTGATAAAATCAATCGGGCGGTAGGCTGCGCCACCTCTACTCCATTCAGCGCTAAAAGATGACGGTGCGCCGGAAGTGAAGTGTCCGCCAGACCAATCAAACCTTCTACCGCCTGACGTCGCTTCCCGCGGCAGAAGGTGTGCAGAGAGCCCGGTCACGAGCTGCTACGCCGAAGGTCGAATGGCTAGACAAGCACATTGTCAACTCCGCCCTTTCAGCTTATAGCCACTGACGACCTCAGAAGCGCAGGGCGTGACGTGTCCCGGGCACCTTATTATCGCTGTCTAAGCCAATGAAATTGCAGCATTAGCCGGTAAGAATGCCAAAGAACCAATCACAAAGGAAGAAACATACCAGGCCACGCCTCGCGCTTTATTACGCTGTCAGTGGCAACAGAGGGGAACAGAAAATTGATGGATGGAATGAATGGGGCTAAACCCTTTGAATCGGGCGGCGGCCTGCGCCACCTAGCCCCTTTCACACGCATCACAAGCTTACTGGCACTTGTAAACTATTTAGCTGGCGCCATCCGACGGCGTTTATATACAACACTGGCTGTCTAAACAATCGTGTGTACTTCTGCTCCACGCTTGAGTACCCAAAATTTTACACGCCGCTTCTCAAAAAAAAAAAAAAAAAGAGAACAAAGTTTAAGCTGAGAGGTAAAGGGCATTGTGTATGTATATGCTAGGCGCCTGTGTCCACACGCAAACTTGGCCGTGAGGGCAGGCGGCCGAGTGTGTTTGCGTTCTGCAGCTCCGAGCCCATGGAGCGAAAAAGCTCGAGGGATCTCGAGCTCAATCTTCGCCACTTCTGGTCTGAATATGGATGAGCTCCGCCCGGGCGCGCTGTCGCGGAATCACCGTTTCGGAACGCGCGTTAAAGGATCTCGGATTAGCGGTCGTCGCTGCCCTGGCAAAAATCGTCTCCACTGCGGAGGCACCTTACGCCGGTTTTAGACAGGTTAATCTCCCGCTGTCTAAATCACCGAACGGCGAATTTGGCGTGCGGTGGCGTAACCATTCCCGCGTGATGCATCATCAAGGGACTATGTAACGATATTCAGTAAGAATGTTTTTTTGTGTGTGTTTCTTTTAAAGTTACACAAGCTTACTGGCACTAGTAGGGCCCAAGGGCATAGACACGTGACGCCCCTGACCAGGAATCGTTAAGGGCTCTTAAGGAAAAAAGCGGAACTTTGTTTTTCAGTTTCTCTTTCGCGAAATTTGGTAGCGTAGCAGGGGGTCAAAGTGTCGACGTAGTCTAGGGCGATGGCCCAGTGGGACGCTGTTTTAATTGCCGCACACAGACTGAGCACTAGCATTGTGTGAGTACTCAATATGCGCACCTCGCAATCAAACTACTCGGTGAGCATTCGGCGTTGGCTCGTGTTCAATCGCTGAAATGATGGGAACAGTTTAACCCTAACAATGCGAAAACTCTCCGCGCGCCCTGTGCTTCGCAAACCCCCAGTGGCGCGTGACTCCAATGAATATTGGCCCCATATAATTGTTTCTAGATTAGCTCTCCGTTTGTTCTGGCTCCGAGCCGAGGGCGCAGTGAACGCTGCTCGTTTTCTCTAAAGGGTCCGTGTATACTCCGAAGTGGAGCGTAGCAAACGCGGCGTTGCGCAGCGCACACAGATGCTGATTAGTCGCAGATATCGAGTTCCCGCTCGCCGGCCAATGAAAGGCGCGCGTTCTGCGCTATACGCTGCGTTCAACGTCGGAGTATAAAAGAGCCTAATTGTTTACCGCGCCTGCCATTTGTAAGAAAAACAAACAACGCGTGACTTTTATTTTTTTTTTAATTTACGAACTTCAAGTGATATTTACTGAAAGTGCTAAAATCGTTGCACGACCCTTCTCAAAAAAAAAAAAAGGAAAAGTTGGCAGCGTAGTGTATTGATCAAGTTGTTTGGCCACTCTGCGCAATCTGTACATTTACTGTCTCTATGGAGACGGTAAATATACAGGTTGACTTTATACAAAAAAAAAAAAGAAAGAAAACCACGGTGTTTTTGCAGACGCGATGATAGAATTATCACCGATTAGCCCTCAGGCATCGTTCGAAGCGCGTTTCCTCTTTGATGGTTCGAGCACGACGGAAGGAAATTTTCGTACGACCAATGTCATCAACCAGAAGAAAGAAGCACGTCTCAGACAGTATTTGGAGACTGTCTGTTGTGTGACGTATTTAGCGGCGTGAGCGAAGCTTAACTCTAAAAAAAAAAAAAAACAAAAAAAAAAAAAACGAAGTTAACTAACTCGTAGTGTAAGAGAGAGAAAGAAACAAAAAAACTGCTGCAGTCGTATCGGGTTTTAAAGCACACACCCACAGGGCGTCTCGTGCGGGACACAGTGATATAAAATGAAACGCATCCTCCAGTCGCCTTCGCAGGATCGAATGTTGTGACCCCAATAAAGAATGTTCTAAAGCAAACAAAAAAAAAAGCACTTCGTACAGCTTAAATTCTGCTTTCTTCTCCGAGCGGGGGCAACGCCAGTGTGGGCCGTCAAGCTTTGAGCCCTCTTTTGGTTCAAGTTTGTGCGGCGGACGCGCGGCGTTTCGCCCCGTGCCCTTCTCGAAACCCCTTTTGAACAAGCGATCCTCGGTGATTTATGGCCCGCGAAAGTTTGACGCATCTCGGTCCGCGTTCGGCCCTCGGCTGGGATCGCCGCGACCGCGGCGCCGAAGCCTCCCGAACCGCGGCTCGAAAGAGGGGCCCGGCTGCTGGGGTGCAACTGCGGCGCCAGGGGATGTCGCTCGTCTGACCCTCTTCGAAGGAAAGAAAAAAAAATATGTATCGGTTTAACTTTTGTAAGAGCGGGACGCTGGGAAAAAGCGAGATTCGCTTGGTCATTTCGGACGCAAAACTCGCTATGGCCATTTAACAAAAGAATTAAAACTAATGTATAAAATTTATTCGAACGAAGCGAGAGTTTTCAAAATTAGGTATATATGTCGAGCATGATTTATTTCACGAAGGTTGGATCTGCAAAACCTGTTGTTTTCGCATATAGTTTAGGAATTAAACTGGTTATCGAGTAATATTGTCCGGGTGCTTCCGACTGAGTCGTCATGTTCTATTTTTTTCCTCTAAAATGTTTGTTAAACGATGGGTATTGATGTTTTCCTTCCTTTGTTATGATTTTTTTTTCTTGAGAAAGTAGGTTATCAATGCTACACTCTAAAAAAAAAAAGAACCGTGCGTCTACTTTCCTGCACAACACTCGGGGAGCAAATCACCGCAACTTACGGGGACAGCTCAGCGAATGACGATGCGTGACGAGTTGTTGATTAGAAAAAAATGTAGCGATTTATTGTTAAATTATGTTTCCAAGATGATAATTCTGTTTTCGGTTTGAATGTTCTTGGCATTGTGTACATTACTTGAGCCAATCAAGGGTCCCTCTGATCTTGTTCTGTTTATTATAATGCAAATAAATGTAAAGGTGCAAGCGAGCTGGACAAGAATGATGAAAATAATCCCTGGAGAAGGGGAACCAGAGGGTCAATGCACAAACACAAACACAAATCTCCAAACACAGCTTATTTTCATCATTCTTGTTCTTTCTTGTTTGAACGTTTTTGAACACTAAGTTTTATATGTATTATGCTTTTGTATGATCCTTGTTTCCCCGAATCCTCGGGTTTGATCGTTTTTGAACCCAAAGTTTTATATGTATTGTGCTTTGTATGATTTTTTCCCAAATCCTCTCTCATGTAATACGTTCGAAAGGATGTCTTTGAGCAACAATAAATTAAATGAAATGAAACATGTTACACCCTAAAACGCAGTCTGAGTTGTGAGATTAAGCAATGCAAGCGTGACGTTTTGCTTTGCTTAATGTCACAACTCTGACTGCGTTTTTTGGTCTAAACATATATTTCGGCATTGTCATTCGCTGAGCTGTCTCCGTAAGTTGCGATGATCGGCTCTCCGAGTGTTGTGCGGCAAAGTAGACGCACGGATTTTTCTTCAGAGTAGAGTATATTAGTGTGTATTTGTATGTGTACCTCTCTGTGTATTTCTCTAAATATTCCTGTGTATATTTTTGCGCATAATTACGTAAATATTTGTATACATTTGTACATTTATCACTTGACTGCAATAATGCCTTCGTAGAATAAATACGTAAATATTAGATAAACTGCTTCGTTTCGGCCTTGCGAATGAACAAAGAAGTAAAAAAACGTAATCATGCTGTTTTTATCGTGTATGGCGAACTCGAAGACACACACAATGTTGTGCGAATAATCTGGACACAAGCTCTCTGTCTGTCTGTCTCTCTCTCTCTCTCTCTGTGTGTGTGTGTGCCTGTGTGTGTTTGACGTTGCAGATACATGACACCCTAATGTCACGTGACCTGTGGGTCGGCCCAGCGTATCGTGTCCCCCCTTTTTTCTTTATAAGACCCAGCGCTATAGCAGATTTTGTGTTAATAGACTGATCGTTATTCTTTGGGATTTCGTTCATCGCTTGCCATTTGGCGCCTGATTGTTGTTGTGGGCTCATTCTGTTGTTTTCATCCTTTCAGTGGGTACAGTGGGCGGGAATATTGTCGTTTGTGGAACTTACGGTGCACCTGGTAGGCAACATACTGAAGAATGCATTCGTTTCTTACAAAGATTCTCCTCAAATATATGACCACAATCGTTGGTTAAGCTCATGAAGTGCTGTTTTTTTATAC